TTTCACCATGTTGGACAGGCTGGTCTGGAACTCCTGACCTCAGATGATCCGCCCACCTTGGCCTCCCCAAGTGCTGGGATTAGAGGTGTGAGCCACTGCACCCAGCTACTAACATTCTTTCAACACAAACCAAGCCAGTCTTTCTCATACCTCGAACCTGCATCAGAATCACCTAAGGTATTTGTAAAAAAATAAATAAAACTAGCTCTCTAATCCCAGACCTACTGAATAGAATCTCTGGGGAGAGGCCTTGGAATATATTTTTAAAATAAGCCACCTTGGTTATTTTTCTTCATAAGATCTTTAGAAACACTGACCTGCACTCTCTTACCTCCTCGCCCATACGATTCTTGGGTTGAAATAGTCTTTTCTCTTCTACATGCCTATAGAATTCTTACACAATTTTCAAGGGCTACCTCTTCCTAGAAGCCTTTCCAGATCTTCCCAAATTGAAGTTAGAGACGTATCTTCATTATTGCAGTTGGCCTTGTAGAGTTTTGCATGTTTTCTACCAAACAGCTCCTGGAGGGCAGTGGTTGTCGATTATCCTATCAAGCATCCCCAGTGCCAGAAAAACACGTTACATATCGTGGGCATTCAAAGAGTATTTGTTGAATATTGTTGATCCTCAAATTCCTTTTTCCTAGTAAGCCATCTCTTTTGTTCTTCAGTAAAGAGTAGAAATCTCTTCAGAGTAATATTAATAAACTCGGGGTGATGAAGGTAAATAATAATCAGCATTATCAGCCTCAGTTTCCAGAGCATCAGAACAGGGATCAGTGTCTGTGAATGGTGGCGAGGGGTTGTTTGTGATCCCTGTTTCTTTCTCATCCTCTTTGTATATTCTTCATAAGGCAAATTGAACAAATCCCTCAAAGTCCAAGTTGAATACATAACAATTACGAAAAGGAAATGCTATCGTGGGTTCATTTTACTTTCAGTAAACAGATTTGATCATTGACCTCACTAAGGAAGCAGTTTTTGTAATACACCTTCATGTTTGTTCTCTGGGACACTAAGTGGAGTAAAGTCCATGCAGCTGTGCTTCCGTTGATGTCCTTCCTAGGAGAACTGTGCGGAGAAACTGTGTAGAGATGAACTGCAGTAACCACTAAGATGGTTTCTCCAAAGATGCTCTGCACTGTCACTTAAATTTTAGGCACTTTTGTGGTTTTAAGTGACTTTTAATTCCATCCCATGTTTCTCTCTCCATCAGCTGGTTTCCTGGATAGGGCATTGCCCAGACGGTGTTATAAGGTGATAGGCATGTGGAGCTAGCCAATGTTCTAATATACTGGAAAGTGACAAAGAGAACAAGGTATTAGATGCACTCAGAGTATCTGGTTATTGAGGATTAGAGGGAGATGTAATAACTGAGGGTGATAGCACATTTTGGGAGTTTCTCCAAATGTTAAATCACTGTTCCTTATACATATTCTATATATTGATCATTTGGCTTCACACCAGGCAGCAAGATTAAGCTGAGAAAACCACTGAATTTGGCAGGGGAAATCAGATTTTCAGTGAGTAGGTTAGGATTTATGACAGCAGTAGTGCTTATGGAGTGTAGTGCAAGAGACTAGGTAGCCATCATAGAGGGAGAGTCCTTACATATGTTTTGAATATTTTGAGTATTACTCATCTTTTGAATCTTAAAGTCTTTGGACTGCTAATGTTTGAGAAAGCGGGGAGACTTCCAAGTGAACAGAATCTCCAAGGAAAAACCTACTCACCTAAGTGAGTAGATCAGGAAATTTTAAACTTAGGCAAAGAAAGACCTTTTCCTCCCCTGCTCCCTCTGAAGCACTGAGGGCTATAGTGGCCAAAGATAATGAGGAAAGATCTTGGAATTTGGTGAGAGGAGCTGCCTGTTAGAGTAGGTTTAGTGCAAGTTGGCTAGAAAGGGGGTGGGCTAATAAAGTTGCAGTAGGCTTGGGAAAGGGCAATAGTGCACATTGGGCCATTCCTTGAGGAACAGGCTTAGAAAGAAAAGAAAATGGTCATTATATAAGCTGGACAAAGTCTCCACGTATTAACAACCAGAAAGTACAGTCCTAGCACCCCAAAGAAGTTGCTTGTGCTGGGCCTTTGCTGTCAGACTCCCCTCCATCCTAATCTCTGGCAACCTTCCCTATAGGTTTTCGTTTTCAGGGTATCATAGGAGTGAAATCACACAGAGTGGGAAAGACTGGCTTCTTTCACTTAGCATAATGCCTACTGTATGTACATTTAAAGTGCATTTTAAAATGCAAAGAATCCTTGCCCGCATCCCCTGCCGAAACAAATAAAACAGGGATCTGAGAAGATGGATGTACAGAAAAGTGAGTTAGGAACATACTGAGATGTAAACAGACATTTACCTCCTGAGGACTGTTTCAGTTTTCAGTGAAATTAGGCGAGCTTGTTAACTTTGAGTGAGTGTTGGAAAGGATGGAGAGGAAGTGACCTTGACCATTTAAGTGTTTTCTTAAACTAGCCTCCTCTCCTTCTCTGACCTTTTTCACTCCCCCTGTCTTCCCTGAGTTGGGGGTAGGGGAAGATACACACACACACACACACACACACACACACGCACACGCATACATAAATAAATAAATATATATATATATATATATCCATTTTCATGGCATAACAATTTTGTTATTTTTGCTCCTGAACTCTGGAAATGGTGCTTTTACTATCGAAAGAGCATATGCAAAATCTTAGTTTCTTATGTCCTCTCTTATAAAGAGAGCATCCACACATAGCAGATTCTAATTTCAGCCGTAGTTGAGGGCTATCAGAAGACACGTGGTGGTTACCAGGATGTGATACAAGCTAGAGCCATATACTTGTATTTCAGTCCGGGATTTAGTTTTACTAAATTTTTCTTTTGAAATTTTTGTATTGTTTTCCTTGTTACTGATAGAAGTTTAAAAGTTAAGAATTAAAAAAGATAGAATAAAACAAATTATTTTTTAGTATCTGGAATTGGAACTTTTAGATGTAAAATATAAACAATGTATCTGTTCATAATTCCCATGCTTTTATTTGGTAGTGTTGATTTATTTTTACAAATCAGTGACTATGAGATTAGTAAGTGCTTTTATTAAATTGTATATATATACACACACACACACACATATAAATGTTTAATTATATTTAATTCTAAAAGCACTTACTAATCTTATCCTCACTAATTCTCCTGGATACTTTTTCAATAGAAATGTAACTGGGTTTTGTTTTCCTTTTTTTTTTTCTATAGCTGTGATATTCAAAGCACAGATGATATTATTCCACCAAAGAGCAAGTAGAAAGCAGGCAGGTTTTCTTGGGACATTTATTGCATTCATCAATTATTACCTTCACCTTACTACTTTTCATTCATGATGAGTAATACATTTATATCCTCGAATTGTTGACTTGTTTATATTGACAACATATTCTACTGATAATGTGATTAGCAGAGAGATGTAAGATGTTACTATATACCAAAGGCCTTCCTTGGTGCTAGTGTTGTGCTTATTACAAATTCAGCATATTGCTCTTCTAACATAAATAGAATTACACTACTGTGTCTTCTCATTTATCTGGAGAACAATTATCTGATACTTCACATATATCTAGAAGTCAGAATGTAAGCCCTAAAAGCCCTCAGAGTGGCCACAGTTTGCTAAAAGCAAATGTGATAAATCTTGTGCCCAGTTTATAATGGATACTTTATACATATTGCCTTATTTAACTCCCACAGTAATCTTTTGTGATAGCTATTGTTGCCACATTTATAGAAGAGGAAATAAATTGAAGATTCTGAAGAGGTTATAAACCTTGTCCAAGGTCTTCTATCTAGAGAATATCGCAGCTGAGATTTCAGCATGGGTTTAGACCTTGTCCAAGGTCGTCTATCTAGAGACAGTGTTGCCGCTGAGATTTCAGTATGGGTTTGTGTGTCCCCCAGATCCTCACTCTGAGTCCAGTTGCTCCCATTTTCAGTCATTCTCATAAATATTTTTTCAGTACCAACTATGTGACAGGCCCTGGTATCCGGGATTAAAGGCAATTATACAGAGTCCTGTAGAAATCCTTTATCTGTTTTTTTTGGCTGCAGTAAATATGAAACAGACTAGAAAAGAAAGGAGGCATGAGGACAGTGATATTGTCTCTGCTACTGACTGTCACATCTGCAGGGTGAGCACAGTACCTAGTAGGAACTCAATAAATATATGTTGAATGGGTGAGTGATATTAGTGAAAAGTAATAACTAGGAGAGAGAATCAAACATGAAAAGGATATAAAATAAAAACCGTGATTGTCTTGGACCAGTTAGTGTTTGAATAAGCAAAAAGCTCCATAGCCCCTAGGGCATGAAGAGCATCTCAGTGTACTCACTGATGCCCATAATGATGACCTGAGGCCACTGAGGACCATGGTGATCCAGGCCCTGTGCAGCAGGGAGTCACTCATGAATGTGACATCCAGTTTAAAAATAAAGGAGGCACCTAAAACATTTTAGAAAATGTTTCATTAAAAATGGTCTTTTCTCCCTTAAAGTGTGCTAAAGAGCTAAACTTCATTGTCTTGGAGAAATCCTATATTGGAGTAGCTCTTTCTCTAATAATATTGGATAAAGAGGGATAACACATCATATAATTTGTTTTCTTTTCCCTAATAAGTCGTAGCATTAAAATTTCATGCCAGATGAATCTTTAAAAAATTCAAATTCTTTTCTTTGGAAGATACCCTATAAGAAACTATACATAGTATACAGCATATAACCATCTATAGTACTGTAACAAGTGAATAGGTCACATAAAACAACCTTTTTTGAGCAATGTCATCTGAGAGGATTATGATGTGTTGAAATAATTCACGTTTGGAATATCATTTAGCTTTTTATAAGGAAAAATGAGGAAATTATAGGAAACTATTGAAATGGTTTAAATTTCATTATTCAACAGCATCGATGCGCTACTTTCTTGTTTCAAGAATGTATCTATTAACAGTGATATTTTGCCTTACAGCTTTTCTGGGAGAAGAGGCTACAAGGACTTAGTGCATCAGATGTAACAGAACAAATTATAAAAACCATGGAACTACCCAAAGGTCTTCAAGGTATTATCTAAGTTCAGTTGAGCAGACATTTATTAAGTACCTACTGCATGCCAGGCACTCTGTTAGATGCTGTGGATTCAGCAATGACTGACAGGAGGTCTTTGCCTTGGGAGGTCATATGCCTTGCTGGATGACGTACCTCTTGTGTTTTAGTAAAGCCAGGCAGAAGCTACATGAAAAACTTGTATGTTACAGGGATGCTGCCGTGTAGTATATTATCTTAGATTTTTTTCTGTGTAAAAATTTTGGTTTTAGGTTAGGTTCATCACAGTAGCTAACCCATGTGCTGCTTTTAGCACTGGATGCGGATGAGTAACAGAATTTCTCAAGCTTCCTGCTTATAGCAGCATCTGGCCCTACCACCTGCTCTTTCTCTCATCCTCTTACCACAAGAACAACTAACAGCTCTCCTTCTGCCCCTCCCTCCACAAACTGGTGCTCTAAGTAGCAGTAGAAACAGATGCACTTTGGTCCAGCAACAGCAGCCAGTGGGATCTGGGGTGGAAAATTCAGTCGCTGGTCTACCTTTCGTGTTATATGAGAACTGCGAGTTCTAGAGAAGAGTTTATTTTTCAAGTATTAAAAATTTGGCTTCTAAAGCTTGATATATTGAGAATTGCTCAAAAATCCTCATAATTCATGGTTAGATTGTTGCCTTATCTCTTTATGTTCTTGGAATGTTGGCCTTAACTAGTTAAACAGGTTTAGGACTTTAACCATTGCATTTACATGTGACACAGTGCCAGTATCTTACAAGTAATCAAAGTGTGCAGTTATTAATTCTCTGATTTGGGCTGTTTTGTTAGGTTTATGAGAAAAGCTGTTAAAGCCACAGGAACAGCTTGCTTGCATTGGCTTTTTCTTTGAATCCCGAGACAAAGAAGATAATTGTTGAGATATTTCTGGAAATTAATGTTAAAAGCTACAAGGAGAAACTATACCAGTACTCTAGGAATACATTAAAAGGGATACTTGAGTATAGTCACTTCACCAGGTCTCACCTCATTAAAATAATTAACATTGCTTGGGGAAATATAGCCAACTTTTTAAAAGTTTAGTACCTTGGAAAATGTGTTTTAAAGTTCTGGTAAAGTATTATTAAAATGCTCAGCTATAAGCTTACAGCAAGCATGAGGATTTGTTTTTTAAAGTAAGAAAAAATGCTCAGCTATTTTGTTACTATTTCTTTAGTGTGAATTATTTAGTGTATCATACCTATTGAGTAGATATATTATCTTTTGCTGCTTTGTTTTATATCGGTTTTACATATGTGATCTCAAATATATATAAAAATATCAGTTGTTTTTGGTCACATAAAGTTTGCTCAGCACATTGAGACATTTCCTTTAACTAGTACTTATTTCTCATTGCAGGAGTTGGTCCAGGTAGCAATGATGAGACTCTTTTATCTGCTGTTGCCAGTGCTTTGCACACAAGCTCTGCGCCAATCACAGGGCAAGTCTCCGCTGCTGTGGAAAAGAACCCCGCTGTTTGGCTTAACACATCTCAACCCCTCTGCAAAGCTTTTATCGTCACAGATGAAGACATCAGGTAATGCAGTTTAACATGACTTCATAAACTTGGGTTTTTACAT